CGACGTCGACTACTATTACTACTATTACTATCGCTACGACTACTACTACGGCCAGTACTATGACAACTACCACCACTACAGGTGCGACTACGACTAGTATTACTATTCGTAGTAGTATTATTTCTACTACCACCATTACCAGTATTCATCATTCAACGGATATTTATACTACTACTACTAGTAGTAGTATCATGTCTACTTTTACTAACTGCTGTGATTACTACGGGTGCTGCTACCACTACAACGCCACCAACAAGAACAACTACTATTACTACTACTACTATTATTACTACTACTACTACTACTACTACTGATACTACCAGTACTGCCGCCACCACCACCATTAGCACTACTACTACTACTACTACTACTACTACTACTACTACTACTACTACTGCTACTACTAGTCCTTCATTTTTCTACTACTTGCTATCATTCGTTTTCGTGGCGTGCGATCGGCCTGATCGCGACCGGTTTGTAACAGTGTCATCGGTGAGCATGAGGCATCCACTTATCCCAGAAGCTCACTTGGAGAGCCCCTGCTAACCAAAACAATTTTGGAGCCGAACCCAGTACATCGCAACCACTTTGGCCCGATCGCAGCCGGTTGGGATCGGCCCCACGTGGTTGCAATCGGGCCAGAGTGGTTGCGATCGGCCCCTGTCGCCCGGGTGACGGCCCCCAGAGGGAGAAAACGGGCCCCAACAAATGCGTCGGTTCCCCCCGCCCCACGCGAGGAGGTCCCCAGATCTCCGACGACATGGTTTGTCCATCCATATGTTCTTGTGTAGATTGCGGATTTGGGGGCCCGTCATCAGCTCCTGGGGCCTTCAATTATGGACGGGGCGAAGATCTGGTCCCAGAAATGGTGTCGGGACCTCTGGGGCTGCATGATAAAACCGTAACATCGTCGGATGTCTGGGCCTGTGACAGGTGCAGGAGGCGACCCGAGAACCTCCAGCGCGATTTTCTCGCAACGTGGCTCCCTGGAGGTCCAGACCTCTTCCCGGGACGCGTTTTCCATCCCGAGTCGTTGGGCCCAGTGCGGGCCTCCAGAAGGCCGAGCACGGCCCTAAATCCTGCGCCGTTTTTTGTTGTTGTTTTTTCGCCTTCGAGGATGTCAGGGACAATGTTAGGCGGGGATAGGCCACGGGAGGGGAGCCTCGACCTCTGGAGTCGGCGATACATAGCATATAGATCGGCGACTAACTGCTGATAGCGAGTCCGCACGTTCCTGGGCGGGGCGGGCCATCGGGCCCCTATCGGCGACCAATGGGCGATTATAGGGTCGCCGCATCTCCCCCTGAGCTAGTCCAGTCCTAACGTTGCCCCTGATCGTCTGGCTTTGGGGCATAACTCTAGCCACTGGCGGCCGTTCGGGACGATCTGGGCGCTACCGAAACGCTCTTCGCGAGGCGCAGCCGCTGGAAGGCATTCCGAGTCTGGAAAGCCGCCCAGAACAAACGAAGACGCCCGAACACCTCGAACATCGGGAGCCTATCCCCCGGCAAACGTTGTCCCCAGTCTGGGATGCATCCGTTTTTCAGGTCATAGCTCGGGTTTCTGGCGGCCGTTTGGGACGAGCTCGGCACCTCTGGAACGCTCTTGGCGAGGCGAACCTGCTGGAACGCATCCAGAGGCTGGAGTGCCGTCGAAAACCGACGACAATGCTCGAAACCTCAGATCCCGAACCCGAAACGTTCGCCCCTGAGCCTATCCGAAGAGGGGGACGAGGAGGAGGATGAGGAGGAGGAGGAAGATGAGGATGATGATGATGATGATGATGATGATGATGATGATGATGATGATGAT